TTGTTGTCTCATTACTGTCTCTGAAAATTGTTGATCATAGCAGTTCCAAATAGGCTGCTTGAGATTGGAATTCCTCAGGCTGGCATACCTGGGGAGGTTGGCACCCGAAGGAACCAGATGCTTCTCAAAGCCCACCCCTAATGACCAAGTGCATCCACTCAGAGCCAAGAGTATTTGGAGGTGCATCCGCTGGGCTTCCTCTTCCCCTCCAATTCTCTGGCTACACTTTTCCAGGGGTAGGACCGGTTATCCTAAATTCAGGAACATGGCTAGTTCTGAGGTTCAGTTCTGCTGCCAGGCTGGGGGTGAGACCTTGGCCAAGTTGCCTAACCTTTCTGAGTATATCTTTTCCCACCAAGGGAAGGACATGATTATTTATGATGATTAAATTAGCCAAAGTATGTAAAGCGTTAGTCTTACAGTATCCTATTCTGCCCTTCACTTTCTTCCTCTCTCCCCTCTCCCTTTCTTCCTCTCTTCCTCAGTACCACATAAACAGAAAAAGTTGGAAGTGGTGCTGTGGCTTTCAAGTTTGGTAGAGTGCTAACCTTGAGCAAAAGAAGCTCAGGGACAGAGCCCAGGCCCCAGCACTGGCCGAAAACCGCAAGTGGCGCTGTGGCTCAAGTGGTAGAGCGCTCACCTTGAGCTGAAGAGCTCAGGGACAGCACCCAGGCCTAGAATTCAAACCCCAAGATAGAAAGAAAGAGAAAAGAAAAGAAATTAGATGCTCAGGAAAACAAGCTATCATTTATGCATAGATTTAACGTGCAGTATATAGCCTAACAAATGTCCCTTTTGGGTTATCAAGTTGATGGAAAAAAAAAAAAATTGTGTCCAGAAACACATGAAAAAGGTATATAGTACATCTACACACACCTTGCCCTTGAAAGAAATGTGTTCACAATTTTACTTAAGGAAAAAAATAACACCACTTCTTATAAAGTAACACAGAATTATTGATTAAAGTTCAAATTTCTGGAAGAAGACACAACCCAAAAGGAAACAAAACCACTCACACACTGAAAACACACACATCTGACCACCTCAAATACTGGTCTGGTTTTTATACAAGTCCACCTACAAAACAATTACTAAAACTTGAGGCAAAAATAAGCAAAACTGGGCAACAATTATAAACATTTTTTAATGTCACAAGGAAAATTATCAATAATACACAAAACATCTACTTAAGCTGTCTTACAATAATAACTTCTTCCACATAAAGCATACTGTTTATAGCTCTTTTTGTAAGTTATTCCTAGCAAGGTGTAATTAAGATATCCTCTTGCTCCTTAAAGCAGTTGAGCAGTTTTGCCATTATATAAGCTTAGACCTAAAATAACAATTTTGACAGAATGTACTTATTCATATAGCCTGTGTGTAGTGACATCACACTCCTCCCTGAATATACAAAATGTTAGCTTGGCCCTGGTAGCTCATGCCTGTAATCCTAGCTACTCAGGAGGCTGAGATCTGAGAATCATGGTTCAAAGCAGGCACTAGCAAAAAAGTTCCCATGAGACTCATCTCCAATTAACCATTCAAAAACCGGAAGTGGCATGTGGCCTAAATGGTATAATGCTAGCCTTGAGCTTAAAGAGGCTCAGGGACATTGCCCAGGCCCTGAGTTCAAGCTCCACAACCAACAGAAAGATCGTATTTGGACTGTTGGCATATTATTTAGTGAGTATATTTTTTTTTGTTCTTCTTTTCAGTACCACTGAAGGAAAAGAAACTAATGGATGTCAAACTAGTAGAGCTGCCAAACTGGATTTTGATGCGGGACTTCACCCCAAAAGGCATTGCTGGAGCATTTCGGAGAGGTCAGAGACTGTTGATTATGTGTAAACAAAAGCAAACCTTTGTTCTTCCATTTTCTTTTTGCAGTGAATTAATTTGAGCAAAAAAAAAGTCCTTGTTTTAAGACTAGTAAATTCTATGGAGAAGGAAAGGAGAGGGATTTCACCCTTGAATTTCCACATTTGAGTCATCTAACAAAGGTTCATGCTAAGATTTTAGCCCAGAAAATGTTTGTTTTGCTTTCTTTGGTTTTGAGATAGCTTATTACTATATTGGCCAAGGTAACCTGGATCTCACAATCCCGCAGTCTTGGCCTCCAGAGTGCTGGGATTACAGGTGTGCCACCACACCTAGCTAAAAAGGGAAGACAAAAAAAAAAAAAAGTTTTGTTGGTTTGAATCAATACCCCTTCATCAGAGGAATGTCAATAAGTATTTTGGATCGTCTCAGTCTATAAGAGCTTTCATATCTCTATGCCATGACTCCCACGGAAAACAGTTAAAATGGCCCATCTTCCAGCTGTATGCATTTAAACAATTCAGGACTTCTGAGTACAGCCAGCTACTCAACGACGTGGAAGGCAGAGATCAGGAGGACTGAGATTGGAGGCCAACCCAGGCAAAAAGCTATCTCAGTAAGGTGTGGGTCACATCCAGAGTCCCCAGCTATGAGGGAGGCTATAGGAAAGAAGAGCCTTGTCTGAGCAGGCCCTGAACAAAAACACAATACCCTCTGTAAAAAGTAAAGAAAGAAAAAAAACACAAAAAAACAGGCTGAGTTCGTGGCTCAAGTGGTAGAACAAATGCCTAGCAAGTGTGATAGCCTGAGTTCAAATCCCAGTTCTGTCAAAAATAGAAAACATGCTGGGCACCCGTGGCTCACCTGTAATCTTAGCTACTCAGGAGGCTGAGATCTGAGGATCGTGGTTCAAAGCCAGCCCGGGCAAGAAAGACTGTGAGACTCTTATCTCCAATAAACCACTCAGAAAACTGGAAGTGGTACTGTGGCTCAAGTGGTAGAGTGCTAGCCTTGAGCTGGAGAGCTGAGGGACAGCGCCCAGGCCCAGAGTTGAAGCCCCACAACCTCCTACTGAAGAAAAAAAAAAGCACAAGACTAATTAGAGGAGTGCTTCATAACCTGTCATATCTCCAGAAATGGAGATTCAGATCATCCACAGAGGACAGGGAGCTACATGATCTCCACATCATCTTTCTAGTGCTCACTCCTCTCTTTCTGGGCCTGCCTGACCCAGTGAACCACAATCAAGTAGCCCTTACTTGGGGTTGAAATTTGGGACACAAGAGTAAGGCAGAATTAGGGTGGGCCTGGCACTGGACTTGGTCTTAGGCTGTGGGACTGGAATCTACAGAGGATATTTGTGCTGTCTGCCTTTAATCAGCCAGTGAATGTAGGGTGAGTATTCTGAGAGCTAAGATCAGGACTTGAATACCAAGCAGAACCCACTGTGAACTACAGGACGCAGTCTGTCAATAAGCACCTTTTCTGTTGCAGGTTATGACCGGTACTTCAACAAGTACATCAATGTGAAGAAAGGGAGCATCGCTGGGATCAACATGGTGCTGGCTTGCTATGTACTTTTCAACTACTGCCGTTGCTACAAGGAGCTTAGTAAGTGCCTCTATTTCTCTGTAAGATTATAGTGTGGTCTAGCTCTATTACATAGGGAAGCATTTTGGAGGGAATAGTCCAAATGCAGCATATAAAATACTGTTTGTGGTGAAGAACACAGAAAAAAAAGGCTAAATATAGTACTTGTGTTAGATATGCTTCTGGATGTTGGGGTATCACACAGTAAGAACATCAACTTGAAAGGAACTCAGCAAGGCAGTTTTTACTTCTGCAGAAGCATAGGCCCACTGCCAAAATCTGGCAAGCCAATCACACAGCAGACAGGCTGTTCCCCTTTTTATCCCTAATCCAGCAGGCCCCACCCCTCTGCTTGGATTGGCTAAGCTCAGGTTTACAACCTGCTACAGGATGTGTTTAACAAGAAAGGGCCAAGCCAGGAACTTGTCAGAAAAAGTTCTTCCAAGATTGCAGAAAGAGACCAACTTTGATAGAAAAGACTGCTTTTCTCACTCCTGAGAAGCATTCTGTTCAGACATTGCAGGCTTGATCTGCAGTCAGTGCAGAGGAAAAGGTTCACGTAGCGTGTCAGCTGTGTGGCTCCAAGACCTGGGCTTGTCTGGGAGGATGCTGGGAGCTGTCAGTGGCTGCTTTCTAAAGCTGTTTCTGACAGGATCCAGCCCCTACCAGTCTGCTGTGCCAGAGCAAAGCTGTCTCTAGATGGGCTCTTGGGGAGCTTTGTTCAGTGCCTTCCTAGAAAGGAAGGTCTGCTAACTCTTGTGGCACTGGCAAAAGGGGCTGGGCCATCTCTAAGGAACTAGGAAGGTTTCGTGTGACCATACTGCTATGGTTTCACAAGAACCCTTCTGAAGGCACTTTTTCCTGATTTCAGAACATGAACGGCATCGCAAGTACCACTGAAGAGCCCATGAGGCTACCTGCATTCTTGATGGAGGCTGTCTGGCCTGGCTCCCATCTGTCGACTTAATCACAGCGGAGTCCTTTCACATTCTGAGACAATTACTGCTCAATAAAAGGTGACTGGTATTGCTGTCACTGTTTGGCACCCAGGACTTTGTCCCGTGATACTTTAGTGGTCTCCATACAGTACTATTAGCTAAAAGGGTTCCATATCATTGTCCACAGTCCCAACCTGGAAGCACTGTGACCATTTGAAGAACTTCTCTCAGCTGACACCACCATATATAGCAGTGGTTCTGTCACTGAGAATGTCAGAGTTGGCCTGACCATATTCCCTTCCTCCATTTTCACAAGAACTCAAGCCACCAAAAACTCCAGGATGAGATCACCGAGCAATGTGGCACTCCTAGTAAGATAGCTCCATTGACAGAAAGTTCAAGTACAGGCCTAATGTGAGTTTACCATCCCCTGTGTGCCCAACATCTCTCTTCCTGGCCCTCTGGAGGTCTTGAAAGATAAACTGAGCCAGGGCCCTCCTAGGTGAGCAGTTTGGAGAAGCAGGTGTCATCCAGCATCTGACAGGCTGTTACCACTGTGTACAGCGGCCCTTCCTTCCTCTCCATGAGATCTAGTGAGGGACAGGAAGTACCAATGTCACCCTCTTCAGAACTCCCATGAGGAATAAGACACAGTTTAAAAAACAAGCTTTAATCAACTTCATAAAAATGGTGTTGTGGTTGAACTGGGATAGGCCCACTTGCCCAGCAGGCTGCAGGTGATGGTTTCACATTTTCTAGGCTCCAAGATGGGGTGGTTTCCTCCGCATGCCCCATGTCTGAGTGACAGTACAGATGCTCCATTGGCAGGAGGTAGGCGCAGAAGGATTGGGTCAGCTATTTAAGGGGTGGTCTGTGATTCCAGCTGAAAGTGTACTTTAAGCACTGTTAGGCAGGGTGCTCCACAGGAGTGAGCCCAGGGCCAGACAGGGCAGGAAGTGACTGGACTTGGCGGGGAAGATGCCCTCATTCAGATCATATGGGTGGCTTCAGGACTCATGATGCCAAGTGTGAAGAAGCTGACACGACCAGCCCACAGGCTCACATGAGCTGCCCTGAGAAGAAAGGCCATCTTCCATACCCAAGAGCCTTTTGCCTCAAGCACTATCCTCTCCCCCCTCCCCCCAAGGCTGGTATTAAGGAAGGCCCAGCAAAAGGCCCTGGTGCCCAGGCAAATGTGGTGGTCACTTGGGAGCCCCACTGAAACATGTGTCCCTTAACTTACAGCACAAAGATAGACCAAGAGAGGGCCCCACTGTGGCCCTGCACAGGTGCCCGCAGGCTCGGCCAGAGTCCCACCAACACTACATCCAGTAGTCAAGTGCACACTCCCAGCAGGGCCCCTTGGGCTGCTCTGAGCTGGCTCCAGCTGCTGTCACTGTCCACTGAGAAAGGCCAAGTGCCCTTTGGTGCATCTGTTGGCATAGTGTCCTTTTTCACCACACTGGGAATAGCAGGGGAGGAAGAGGAGACAAAACAATATATTTTTTTTCAAATGCAATTTCCAACTAAGGCTACCCATCAAATACCAGCCGGGAAAGACTGAAAATGTTGGCACAACTCCTTGAAAACACAGCCAACAGCTCCAGGCGGAAGAAACCACAGGAAGCTAATTGGTGGATGGAAGGGAGAATGGGCCCACTAGAGTGGCCTTACTGCCTGGGCTGGCCTTACACAAGCTAGGGCCAGGCCAGAGACACTCTGTACAGACCACTTACCTCTGAGCCAACACCTAGAGCCCTCCAGGGAGACAGTGAACAATGTGAGGGAAGCCACCAGGCTCTGGCCAACCTGGCCATGCTGTGGACATGGAGGGTGATTGCACCTGAGGGCTTCCCTCTGGCCTTTACCTATGTCTAGGCTACCCCTGGGTCAGGCTTTGTTCACAGGGCCAGAGATGGGCAGCGGTTAGCTGGGTGAGGAGAGATAGCTGCATCACCTAACACACGACTTAGACTAGCTGATTATCCAGGCTTGTCTGTACTGTCTGCTCTTGACACCCCAAAACAGGAGAAAATTTTAAGGTGAATGGCACAGGGGTGGGAGGTAGCTGGAGTCCCCAGGTCTGCACTCTTCCTTGCCACCAGACCCCCATTACCCCTGCCCCCAGGCTTGCTTCCTTGATGATGCCCTACCACCTCTACCCATCCACTTCACCTGTTCCTCATGTTACTTGGGGTTTAAGTCACCTCAGTGACGCCGGCCCTGAATCCATATGCATCTTTCCTTTCCATGTTTTCAGACACCTGGACAGAGCAAGAGCAGGCCAGAGGAATGCCTGGCTGCTGAGCCAGGGGACCCTGGGATCCCATCTTTCTTGACAACAACTTGTACACACAGGTTCAGCATGCATCCTTTTACTCCACACTGCCTCTAGAAGGCACTGAGGTTGATGACAACAGACAAGAACTAAGATGTCCATGTGGCAGTCGTACTGTCACTAGGAGCCAAGGTCATAAACTGTCAACAGAAAACTGGTAAAAATTGTGATTATGCAGCCATTATAAATTTAAGATTAGATTGCCTATGTTGGTACAGAAGGGGCTCTTCGGATTTTGATATATAAATCACCTTGTGAAGTACAGGCTGGCCTCAAAATCATGATCCTCCTAAGAGAGCCTCCTAAGTGCTAGGATCACAAGTATGGCCACCACATGTTACTCTTTTGATATTAAGATGAGCTTGTGTGAACAGGTTTTCAAGAGCATTTCAACACAGGAGGCTTGAAGGACTCTAAAGGTTGGTTCAGAAGGACATGACTGATGGACAACATTTCTTTTCTTTTTTGTCGGTGGTGGGGCTTGAACTCTGGGCCTGGGCGCTGTCCTTCAGCTCTTCAGCTCACAAGGCGAGCGCTCTACCACTTGAGCTACAGCGCCACTTCCGGTTTTGTGGTGGTTTATTGGAGATAGGAGTCTCAAGGTCTCTCCTGCCAGGGCTAGCTTTGAATCGCGATCCTCAGATCTCAGCCTCCTGAGTAGCTAGGATTACAGGCATGAGCCACCAGCGCCCGGCCGGATGGACAACATTTCTTGTGTTCAGTTTTGTTGTTTTTTTTTTTTTGGTCGGTTGTGGGGCTTGAACTCTGGGCCTGGGTGCTGTCCCTCAGCTCTTCAGCTCAAGGCTAGCGCTCTACCACTTGAGTTACAGCACCCCTTCCGGTTTTCTGGTGGTTTACTGGCGAGAAAAGTTTCCCAGACTTTCCTGCCTGGGCTGGTTTTGAACCGCGATCCTCAGATCTCAGCCTCCTGAGTAGCTAGGATAACAGGTGTGAGCCACTGACACCCGGCTGTGTTCAGTTTTTATAGTCATGTAGCAACCCTGTGCTTTGCTTTGTTAAGCAATTCCCAAATCTGCAGGCTTTGTGGGTTTAGTTCTTTTGCTGGCCATTACTGCTCACTCCCCTAGTGGTGTCTGCATTCTGTACAGCATGGACTGCACACATATTGCTCAGAGCATGTGGAAATGCTTCTAAGAGGTGCCAGGAGTGAGAAGGGATGGGCAAGCAGAGATTAGAAAACCCGGTATGGCTGGGTGCCAGTGGCTTATGCATGCAATCCTAGCTACTCAGTGCTGAGATCAAAAGATTATGGTCTCAAGCCAATCCTGGGAAGGAAAATCCAATGAGATTGTTATCTCCAGTTAACCACCAAAAAGCCAGAAATGGCACTGTGGCTCAAAGTGATACAGCAGAAAAACTCAGGGACAGCTCCCAGGCCCTAAGTTCAAGCCCCAGGACCAGCACAAAAAGAAGAAGAAAACCCTGTGCATAACTTTAGCTCTCATCAGGAGTATGAACACAGGAAGTTAGCATGCAAATCTGAGCACTTTTTCTCTCCACCCAGAGCCGGGAATGAGAAAGACAAGCTCAATAGGCTTAGGTTTTTGGTTTTGTCTCTCCCCCGCCCTCCGCCAAAAAAAAAAAAAAAAAAGCTTTCCTAATGCAGTTCCTCCCAGTGCAGGCCCAATGCTGTCCTGCTTCTCCTAGCCACAGGCTTCAAGGCACTGCTTCTCCCTGCACAACTCAGTTCCATGCTCAGCCTTGTTGAAAACTTCCCTCCCACTTATCCACTCTCCACTGTGCTCCATCTTGCCCTGGTGTGCCTAGGAGTTCTAAGCCACCCTAGTGGCCCTCCTTGATTCTTGCAGTCAGCAAAAGCAATGCTTCAATTTTCAAAAGCAACCAGAACATGTGGGGAGCACAGGAATGGAATGGCTGCTGACTTGAGAGAGGTCCCCACCGCTCCCCCAGCCCGAGACTCACCTTGTAACAGGTGACCTGCTCCAGCGGCCGGGGTCCCCGGTTGCCTGCACTGCTGTTCTGACTCTGCATGACCCCGATGACCTGCGGGGCTCTCTGCTGATTGGGAGAAGAGTTCTGACTCGTTAACTGGATCAGGGAGGACGACCTTTGTAATGGCGGATTGTTACTTTGCTGGAAAGAGTTACACAACACGGTTTTACTGCGGAAAACACGTGCACGAAGACTACCGTGGGGACAGAAAAAAAGAGGGCGGGACTGCTCCCGCATGACCAGCAGGGCTCCGCAATGGCCCAGCTCTAGAGAGCAGGCAGAGAAGGAACTTCTGATGATGATAGCAGTAGCCGCTGCCCGAAAACACCATGCAGACACACAAAAACGAAAAAGAAAAGAAAAGAAAACACCAAAGAGACAAGAGGAGGTCTCTGGGGCGAGGGCATGATCAGGCCTTACTTTTGTTTCTGAGGTTCTAGCTTCATGTCAGGATGAACGCTTGGTTCAGCCAGATGTTTAGCAGCCTACACGGCGAGCAACAGTCACAGAAAAACAGTTGGAGCCTGATACTCTGACCTGCATTCTAGGGGCTGACAGGGCCCTCCTCTGGGGAGTCGATGTGACAAAGAGGGATAGGGGCTTCAGCCCTGGAAACTTCCCTGTGCTAGGAAGTCCTGGCTTTCCCCTGGAAGTGTGACTGGCGTGGCACTGCCAGCTCCCGTGGGTAGATGGAGGGCAAGCTCAGCCATATGGCATTGATGAGGCCTGAGTGGGTTTTGGCAAGGGGCTCAGGCCACCCGGGTAAGAAGACTTCACAATGGGTGGGCCAGTTTACTGGGGTAGGGGCTGAGGGCGGGCTGCTGCTGGAAGCCCTGCCTGCCTTCCTGTGGGCCTAACCACCTCCTATATCCAAATTAGGGTGTTCTTGGTTTGGGGATTGCTTCCCGCATCTGTGTTTTCCTCTTTCCTGGTACTGAGGTGATAGACCACAGCACCATGTACAGTCTAGAAAACTACAGCAGTGATGGATCTAGCCAGAGAGCACTGACACAGTCCTGCCCTCCAGGTGCAGACACCCTGCCTAGTGGTTACCCTCAGGCAAGTCCCTTCCTGTGGAGTCGTTTTCCTGTGTGTAAAGGGAAGTCTTCCCCACCCATCTCTTCAGGCAGACACAGCCACCCTTCCCATGCTCACACAGACAAACAGAGGAGACCTCAAAGTCCTTCTGCTCTAACAGATGCCCCCCATCTCCAGAGGCCATGTGAACTGTTCTGCTCTGACGCCCCCCCCCCCCAGCCCACCCCAGCCCAGAGGCAGATGCACACCCAGGCGGCACGGTACCTTTGTCGGTGGCTGCGTCTGCTGCGGCAGTGGGGGCTGCTCAGTGGTTCCCATGGGCAGTTCAAATCGAGGGCTGGTCACCACCAGAGGGGATGAGAATGAAAAGAGGGCATGAGAGGGGACAGGGCAGGGGATGTGGGATAATGATCACACCAACCTTGTAAGCACAAGTGGCCTAAAGCACAAGTGGCCTTGGGGGGGGGGGGGGGCTGGCACTCAGCCATGCTACTGGGGGCTGCAGGAAAAACAGGATAGCCACCCAGAACTGGCAGAGGAGTCTTGCCTACTATGTAGAAAGGGCTATGTTCACAGAAGCCCTGCTCCTCTGGGGGTTACCCCATACTACTTGGAACCCAAACACAGAACCACTTAGGGTGTCTAAACTTCCCAACAGACCCAAAGCCTTCCAGGTCCCCAGATGGGTCATAGCAAGGCTGGCCTGGGCAGAGCCACCATTGGGTTCCAGAAGGAGCAGTAGCCATAGTGTGGTTTTGCCATCTTCCACCCAAACCACCCTCCAGGTTGGAGGCCACTCAAGGATCAGCCCCTAAGCACCTAGGGCAGAGGCAGAGTACTCACTGCATGAATTTACACAAGGGTCCCTCCGGGCAGAATCCGACGAGGTAATTTACACAGATGACTCTCCGTGTGTGCCGGTGCCTGCACAGGGGACCTACGGAGCCCAGCGTCTGAGTCACTCAGATGTCCCCTCTGCGAGAGAATGCCCTGGTGTCCCAAATAGCCTGGGTGCAGAGGACCAGGGCACAGCACCAGATGCCACCTTTGCCGCATAAAAAACCAGCAAGCTGCCCATTGCGCTAGAGGCCTGCTTATTTGTGGAGGACAACAGGCAAGATTTGGCTTCTGCACTAGCCCTCTCATCAAAAACACAGGTGAGAATGCAGCCCCCATGTCCCCACTGGGAGATGATGTATGAAAAAGCCTCACAGCTGGGTGCGGTGGTGAATGGCTACAATCCCACAATCCCAGGCTAGGAACGCAGAAGACCATCCTGGGCTTAAAAAAAAAAAAAGGGCTGGGAAGGTGGCTCAGTGGTAGAGTGCTTGCCTTACACATATGAAGCCCTGGGTTTGATTCCTCAGCACCACATAAGCAGAAAAAAAAGCCGGAAGTGGTGCTCTGGCTTAAGTGTAGAGCCTTGTGCTGAAGAGCTGAGGGACAGTGCCCAGACCCAGAGTTCAGACCCCATGACAACCAAAAAAAAAACAAAACCTCAAGCCAGCTGCCTGTGGCTCACACCTGTAATGCTAGCTACTCAGCTACTAAATCTAAGGATCACGGTTCAAAGCCAGCCCAGGCAGGAAAGTTGCCCATGAGATTCATCTCCGATAAATGACCAAAGAACCGGAAGTGGTGTTGTGACTCAGGTGGTAGAGCCCTAGCCTTGAGCTGAAGAGCTCTGAGGGACAGCGCCCAGGCCCAGAGTTAAAAAAAAAAAAAAAAAAAAGCCTCAGCCACAGAAGGTCAGTTTTGCTTGGACAGGTGGAGTGACTTTCTTGGTGACCAGCGCAGGAACCCCAGGGCCCCAGGTCCTGGCACCTACCATGCTTGCAGAAGCCACGGTCGTACCAAGGGCAGTCCTTAATCTTGGACTCAGGGTCAATGTGCAGGAAGGGACACTCCTTGTTGCTGCATTCCCCTGAAGGAGATCAGACGTGTGGGCTTCCCGGAGCAGGACAGTCCCCTTTTAGCCTCCAGCCCCCCAGGCTGATGTCTTCTCCAAGTCTTCTCAGATCCCTCTGCCGGAAGTCAAGGCTACCGTGGGCATCACCACTGCTCATTTCCTCCCCTATACTTTCCAAGAGCCATTTCTCTGTTCCACTGTATTATCTGCTACCCATTCCTGGGTCACTAGAGCAAGAACTCCATGGCACACAAGGATGGTGTCCCCTTGATGCTTAGATGAGAGTCCTCAACAAAAGCCTGTAGCCAAGTGACCCACAGGTGTTGAGCTTGCATCTGTACAGGCTCTGCAGGGAACAGGCAAGCAAGAGGCACCAGAGACATGGGAAGTGCCAGGCCCAGAACTGTCAGCAGAAAGGAGGGAACCCCAGGCCTGCCCCGTAAATATTCGGGGACAGATCTATTGTGGCTGATGGCAAGAGCTCAAGGGTGTGGGGAGCCAGGAAGGTCAAGTCCTGTCTGTTTGCTTTGAGGACAAAACAAGCCACAAGCACCATTAATAAGCCAGCAGCCAAGCCTGCTGGATCACTGAGAAAATTAACACCTCTAATAACACAAAGCATGTCTTGCACACCTCAGCTCATCCATTGCACAGCTTCCTGTAGGCTTTTGACCAGCCTGGTCCCTGTACAGGGCCTGATGCTGGCAGTTCTAGAGCTACAGCTAGCCCTTGTTCTGACCACCTGAGCTGCTTCCTGAGGCTGCAAAATCCACACCATCCTCATCCCTGGATCCTGCATACAGGCTGCTCAGGACAGGGGACCCATGTTCTCCAATCATAGCTTAAAGCAATCTTCCTTTCTGGGTGAAGAATGGAGCTCATTGCCACCAGAAGTCAGCCCCCTTCCCCCTACTATCATGAGGTCTGTTGGCAGAGAGAAGGACCCCAGCAGACCCTGGGCAATCAGCAACCACAGTGGAGAATGAGATGCAGACTTCTGGAATAAGGCTGATGTCTATGATAGCTGTGCAGTTCACTTCTCATTGCAAAACCCTTCTTAATCTCGGGATAACCCCAGAGCACTAAACAGCCATCTGGCTTACTAGAGAGTCCCAACATCCCCTCACCAAAGAGCCAGCTCAGGCTTCCAGGCTCTGCCCATGTCCCAGAAGGGTGGGAGGAGGCAGGCAGGGATGGAGTCTCTGTCAGCTCTGGGCGGAGCCTCCCAGGGTTCCATGCAGCTTACCAAACTTGGAGTAGAAGTAGCACTCGGGCATCTTGGTCATGTCATACTCATGTAAGAACTCACACTGGTCCCCTTTCTTGCACAGCCCTCGCAGCCAGTGCTTGCACACCACTGTCTTCTCACCGCTGATGTGGCGGAATGGGCACATACCCCCTGGCAAGGAAGAAGGGCAAGGCTGTGAGGAGAGAGGTGGGCCGGGATGGGGGTGGGGGATGACAGGGACAGGTCTGGGGGAACCAGGGCACCTTCATCCCACGCAGTGAACAGCCCATGCTGGATGGCGGATAAGATACCCCTGGCAGAGGTAAGCTAGTGTGCTAGCAATTATTTTCAGTTCACATAGCTATGCATTTTAAGATGTTTCGGCATTGAATCATGATCTTAGAGATATCACTAGAAGATGGAAGCCAAACAAGCCTAGAGTAGGGTGGTAGATCCATTTGTTAATTTAATCCAAGCACAGTTCCAGTAGTACACAGGCATGAAGAACTGTAGTAACATTATTAAAGACTAGGGTTTAGGAAACCCTAAAGGAGAAAGACAACCACCAGCAGAAGTGCCAGGTATGGTGGTGCATGCCTGTAATTCCAGCACAAGAGGATAGTGGGTTGAAGATAGCCTACATTTCATTCATGAAGATAGCCTACATTTCATTCATAGTGAGATTATCAAAATTTTTTGAAAGTGTCCATACAGCCTTAAGATTAAGATCAACTTCATGACTGAAGCAATTAAATGAGCACATAGGTAGAGGTGCCCCACAGCAGGATCTACCTGGCCTTGCTGGGGCAGGACCATCCTCTGGGGATGTCGGATGTCTAACTGGCCTTGAGGACCGGAATAAAGCTGTGACTGAGAAAGCCCAAGACCAGCTCTGTTAAGAACTGTCCAATATGGCCGCCACTCATCACACATGGCTATCTGGTATTTGAATGATCACTAGTGTGCTGAGGAACTAGATTTGGAATTCTTCAAATTTTTATAACACATCTGTGGCTAGTGGCTACAGGACTAGCAGACAGTTGTGGCACTCTGTGTTAAGATGAGTTATCACAGAATGGGGCTAGCATAGAGCAGAGTAACTGAGCAAATATGGCAATGAGACCAGGAGCCAGTGGGGGAATGACACACAGCATGAGGAGCTGGTTGGCACACGAAGCCATCCCTTGCCACGAACTTCCTATTCAAGCTTCTGACTCTCTTTCCCTACATGGAGGAAGATGCCCAGATCTCTACACGCCTTTAATTAGGAGCTAATGGATACACCCAGCTTCACATGGCTTGTTGGGCTTTGTGAAGAAGATTCAAGAAGGAAATATTACCCCAGGCCTTTGGCTAAGAAGCCACACAGGTCAGAAAGCCCTTGTACACTGCCAGTAGAGAGGCCTGGATTCAGACACTGAGTTCAACCATACAGTAACCATGGAACCATGAGAAAATTCGTGAAAGTGTAAATGTCTGGGGGCCTCAGTCCACCTCACAGGGAAAGATCAGTGAGCCAGGCTCAGTCTTGGGACACAACACCCAGTCACAGCTTCATCCATATCATTATTTGTCTGCAGAAGGCAATGATAACCGCAGAGATGTGGTGGCTCTTAGCTCTGTTAAGGTACCAAAGGAGGCTCGGCAAGAAGCCAGTGATAGGGGTCTTACCTTTGCCACAGGCAGCTTTCAAAAAGAATTCGCAGACAGCAGCCCCGGACTCTGGAGAAAGGAGAAAAGGCAACAACATTAACCAAAGTCAGGTGCCACCACTGTCAGTGACAAACACAGACAGTGGAGGGTAGGGGAAGAACACTTACTGGTCTTTGAGCCAGGACATAGGAAAGAATATAAACAATGCAAAGTCCAACCAGCCAGCTCAAACCTGAATATTTACACCATGCCCTGAAAAATGAGATGTGTACACTGAGACCATTATTCTGAGCTTTCTGATCACACCTGCAAATCCAAGAGGCAGGGGTAGGAAGATCAGAGTCAGGGGCTAATCCAGGCAAAATCAAGACCTTAAACAGACTAAAAGCAAAGGACTGAGGGCATGCTACCCTGCGTTTGAACCCCACATCACCCACCAACACACAAAATAACAAGTGGGTATTACAAGATCCCAGAACTAAAATTACCCCCAGCTCAAATCTCTTAGGAGGGCTAATTCAAAGAGTCTTTATTTAACAGAAGCAGTGGGATAGAATGAAGCTCACAGAAAATACCATCAATGGAAAATGGCCCTCTGGGACCAGATTCCAGGAGGAGGACACAGGTGTTCTAGAGGACCATCCACCTGGAGGAGGTGAAGAGGAGCCCCAGAAGCAGGACTGCTCTTTTTTTTTTTTTTTTCCCCTGGTCGTGGGGCTTGAAATCTGGGCTTGGGTGCTGTTCCTGCGCTCTTCAGCTCAAGGCAAGCACTCTACCGCTTGAGCCACAACGCCACTTCCAGTTTTCTAGTGGTTTATTGGAGATAAGAGACTTTCCTGCCCGGGCTGGCTTTGAACCACGATCCTCAGATCTCAGCCTCCTGAGTACCTAGGATTACAGGTGTGAGCCACTGGCACCCAGCAGGATTGCTCTTAATAGGCCATGGCCATGTGTAATTACAAAGAGCATCATCAACACAAGTGTAGCCAGTTCTGGTGACAGAGCAAGACTGCAGAGGCAGTGCCCTGAAGTTGGTGCCATTCTGATGGGCCCAAGAATTCCCTGGCAACAGCTTCTAGAACCAACTGTCCTTGAGCCAGGGAGGCAGCTCCCTGGGAGAGCGCTCATGTGGGAGGCCCTGGACTCAACCTCCAGTACCAAAGAAAATAAATAGAAACTCATTCACAGGCCTCCCTTGTCAACTTGCCACTTCCTAAAAGTGGGCAGGTATTGTTAGGACTGAATTAAGGCTGTAGAATTTAGGGGTGTCAAGGGGAGTTAAAGAGGGATCACTTTTTGGCTTTGAAAAGTTGCATTAGAACAATGTACCATTCAGGAAACCCTGGCTGGTGCCAGCCAATGAGCAAAAGCATCAGATACTGAGTTTGAGTCCCAGTCTTAGACAAAAAAAAACCAAACAAACATATTTCTGGGCTAGGTATTTAACTGGATGGGAGAGTGCTTGTCTAGCCATGTACAAGGTTCTGGGTTCCATTCCCAGCACTACAATTAATATTTAAAAAAGAAAATCATTCAGAGGTTAAGGTTGCATCATTCCCTAGTGAGAAATTCAATCCTTGGGACAGGGTCACAGGCTGACATTAGAGCATGCCTAAGGGTCAATCAGAGTTTTCACACCAAGAAGGGAACAAAGCAAAGGGACCAAGGGGAAAGGACATGATCATCCAGAGCCTTAACATATTGAGCCCAATCTCACACAAAGCAGTGTATACTCACACAAGCAGTGTATACTGAACCAAATCACAAACTAGCATTGCAAACTAACACAATCACAAACCAGCACTGCACACTGAACACAATCATAAGTCTATGAAGGCTGAACCCAGGCTAGGACAGCACCCTTCCTAAGAACAGGTATGTGCAGCCCTCATCACAGCACCCATCCCCACAGGGCTAATGACCTGTGGTGCCAGGCAGGAGAAGGGTAGAAGAGAAGGCTGTACGGGCAATCACAAAGTGATCAAAGGTTTCGAGAGGTAAGGCTGTGAATATGAGCAGTTGCTTGTTAAGGATGTCAGATGTGGTAGTGTATGCCTATAATCCCAGCACTCAGGAGACTGAAGCAGGAGAATGTTGATCAAAGCCGGCCTGAAGACTCCCTTGAGAGGAGTGAGGATGGGGTGGACAGGCAGGAAGGCACCAGCTGCAGCCCTATGGCAGTTAGGGGAGATAGCAGGGGCCCCAGCCCGTGGTCACTAGTGGGAGTCCTCAGCAAATCCTTCCCACCCTGGGCCTCAGGTTCCTCACCAACAGACTGAATTCAGTGATTTCTAAGAGCCTGGGCTTGGGGGGGGAGGGGGGAGGGGGGGGGGCGGGGGAAGGGAGGGTTAGGTTTCCAGTACATCCAGAATGGAGTGAATAGGGAAGCTGCTGGTTTCTCTTAACACAGGAGACATCCCAAATGAGTGGGGGGAGGTGGAGCGCCGGAAGCCACCACGTGAAGCGAGATAATTAAAGGGGACATTGGTTAAGGGTCCATCTCAACTACCTGCCTGCCGCAAAACACCCAGAGTTGGGGGTACAGAGAAGCAGGGCCTGGCCCAGACTGGGAATGAGAAGCCCCCACCCCCAGGACAGCGAATCCTGGGGAAAGAACAGAGTTGGAGCTGCTTCTAGTTGGGGGGGGGGGGGGAGTCACCAGCGGGGTCCTTCCCTCCAACGGCCTAGCTTTAATAAAAACAAGGGCGCTCCATGTGAGCGGGGGGGGGGGGGGGGGAGGCTGGGAGAGACGAGGGGGGGTCTCCCAGGACTTTCCTCTAGCAGGGGGGGGAGGGGAGCATGGAGGGTACCCCACTTCACGATGGTCTGTTCTCATCCAAGCACGGCACCCCCAACCCGCCGCCCGAGGACCCCCCCTCCCGCCCCCCCCCTTTCGGGGGTCAAAGGCCAAACCAGGCAAAGTATGGATGGGGACTCCCGAGTTCCACAGAGGGGACAAGAGGCTCCAGAGAAGGGGGGAGTTCGGGGCCCGTCTGCCCGGTGCCCGCGCTCACTGTCCATGCCCGGGAAGGGCAGCGGCTGCGCCCCGAGCTGCTGCTCCACGGCGATCTCCAGGTCGAACTTGATGTGGTCCACGCTGGCGATGATCTCCTGCATGGTGGCGGCGGCGGCCCCACTCGGCCCGGCTGCCCCCTCAGATCCCCGGCCGCCCTCACGCCGCCGCCCGGCCGTCCCGCCGTCCCGCCGCCCCGCCGCACTCGGTGCTGCTGCCGCCGCCGCCGCCGCCGCCGCGCCCGCCACCGCCGCCGCCGCCGCCGCTGCCGCCCGAAGGATGTCGGGAGCGCCCCAAGCGCGCCTTGGCCTTCCGCCGGCCTAGGCCTAGCCAATCCAGCGGCCGACTACGGCCACGATGCCAGACATAGTTAGCAGACAGCCGAGCCACCGGCTGGTCGGCGCTTCACCTCCAGCCCTGTGCGTGTGAGAGCTCGAGACGCGGACTGCGCCTGCGCGAGCCTCGGCTGCGGCGCCTGCCTAAGGTATTGGATGACACCGCCCGGCGACGGCCCGGGGGACGCGCTGAGGACCGCGCGGGGACCTGCACGGCGTTCGAGGCTCCCGGCCGTTCCGGTGAGTTCCTGTTCCATCCACGCAGGAGTTCTGAGACCCTGGCAGAGCTGGCCCGTGTGGCAGCGAGAGTCCTGAGTCCAGGACTGACTGGAACTTGGGGCTTGACTGGAACTCAGGCTCTGAGGGCCTGGGGAGAAGGGGGTCGCGCTGGCTCGAGGGCCGCGGGATCGAGGGCAGGTGGGATCTTCAGCGTGTCGGTGATTCTGGAGTTGGATTGGTCGATTGGGGTGCGGTGGAGGGGGGCGGGTGTCTCACTAGGAAACCCAGGCGGGCCTCTAACTCGCGATCCTCCCGATTCAGCCTCCTGAGTGCGGGGATTGCAGTCGAGCCTAGGAGAAAGAATGGATTTCATAGGAAGATAACTCTCGCTTTACTTTTTTTCCCCCCTGTGTAAACCTTAGCATTTCCTTCTCTGACTGGCAGAGAATATGTTAGCAGTGGATGATTTGTCAGAAGACAGTTTGTGCAGCTACCACACTGGGTGGTCACTCGTGCTATCATTTAGGCGCACTCCTGCTGTGAAATTACCATAGGCTTGTGTTATCTAATGCATTGAAAACTTCATAGACTAGTATACCACATATGCATGTACAGTACATATGTACACTGTTATTGTACTACAGTCCGACTCCACTCTAGTCTCAGTTATTGATGTGTTGTCTTTTTTTTTTTTTTGTCGGTCGTGGGGCTTGAACTCTGGGCCTGGGCGCTGTCCCTCAGCTGTTTAGCTCAAGGCGATCACTCTACCACTTGAGCTACAGCGCCACTTCCGGTTTTCTGGTGGTTTATTGGAGATAGGAGTCTCACAGTCTCTCCTGCTCGAGCTGGCTTTGAACCGTGATCCTCAGATCTCAGCCTCCTGAGTAGCTAGGATTACAGGCGTGAGCCACCAGCGCCTGGCTTGTCTTTTTTTTTTTTGTCCAAGACTGGGACTTGAACTCAGTACTTAAAGTTTTCACTCATTGACTAGCACTGTAGCAACTGAGCAATGCCTCCAACCTCAGAGCCCTTCTAATGTATCCAAATCTTAAAGGTGTTTTCATGCTGCCAGTCTCCAGTAGCTCATACTTGTAATCTTAGCTACTTAAGAGGCTGAGATCTGGGGGAGGTCAAGGTTTGAGGCTAGTCCAGGCATAGGAGTCCTAGAGACTCCATCTCCAAAAATGATCATCCAATAATGAGGCTGGAGGCGTGGTTCAGGAGGCTAGGATTGATTATTGGCAGGCCTTATATAACCACTACCAAGTCTTCTGTCTTTGTAACTGTGAATCTGACTTGACTTCCTTAATTTGTTTGAAATATTCCAGGCCCAGGTGGGACAGGAAAGCCAGACATGGATATTATGAGACTTGCCCGCCTCTTCTCTGGTCCTGGCCCTGTGGGACTGTCCATCCTCCAATGCCTTGGTCCTCGTGGAGTCTGGTGGACAGGAGGCAAGGAGGGGCTGGTTTGGCCCAGGATCCTGCAGCCAGCACGGCCAGTGTCAGTGACCTTCAGCAGCTCCCTGGGGCAGGGGAGCCGGAAGAACATGAGCAGCCAACACGGTGACCCCAGTCAGCCCAATGCCCTAACCACTCAGGAAGAAGAGGAGGAAGAAAGCTTTGGAACTCTCTCTGACAAATACTCCTCCCGGAGAATATTCCAGAAATCCACAGCTGAGTTGTATAACTGGCAGCTCAGAGAGCAGAATATGGAGGAAGATGAAGAAGGGGAGACAGAACCCAAAGTATGGCAGGGCCGGAGGAACACCCCATATTGGTACTTCCTCCAGTGCAAACGCCTGATCAAAGAAGGGAAGGTGAGGAAACCTGGCATTCCTTCTGCTTTCCTGAGCTCAGTGTTGGGTGTGTAGCATCTCAGTGCTCCCCGTTGCTAAATGGTGGGGTGCTCAGCAGCACTTGATCCATGGGCCCTTTTGTTCCTTGTCTTTTTTTTTTTTTTAAGTGGTACAGGGATTTGAACACCCCCAACCTTTTTTGCTTAAGTTAATTTTCAGATAGTGGCTCATGCTTTTGGCTTATGCCAGCCTAGACTATGATTCTCTTACTTATGGCCTCCTGTATACCTGGGATTACAGGTGTGGGGCACTATGCCTGGCTTATTAATTGAGATAGAGGGGAATCTCACTTTTCCCCCCTCAGGCTGGCCTCAAACTTGCAGTCTCCCCAATATCTACCTCTTGCATAGCTGGGATTGCATGTGTGAATCACTGTCCCCTTACTCACCATGGTGACCCAGCAGTCTCATAGCATGAATATAACTCAGTTTCTACTGTTCAGGTCTCCTGCCCCAGCCTCCTATAGAAGCTGGACGTATATGTACAGCTCTGGCTGTTTGCTGGTTAATTGGAGAAAAGACTCTCAGATTTGTCTGCCTGGGCTAGCTTTGAGCCGTGATCCGCAGATCTCAGCCTCTAAATGGCAATTCTATTATTCCATTTGCTTGGTCAAATTTCCTTGGGTCATGCTCTATTCTCTTTCTCTGTCCCACACTACCTCCAAGCTTTTCCAGCCCTGCTTCCCACAACCCTGCCCTCAAATATCTGGGTGTAGACTTTCCTTTACCTCCTCAACTTTGGTGGTTTTTTTTTTGTTGTTGTTGTTTTGTTTTGTTTTTTTGTTCTTTGGTGATAGTACTGTGAGGTTTGGAGTCAGGGCTTCTATTTGCCAGGGAGATGCTCTACACCTGAGCCACACTCCCGACCCTTTTGCTTTGGTTCTTTTTCAAGGAGGGTCTTGCAGATTTTGCCTAGGCCAACCTGGCTCATGATCTTTCTATCTACAGCCTCCTGCCTTGCTGGGACTACAGGTGTCTATCACTGTGTCTAGCTCTCCTCAGCTATTAAGGACATTTGTCACTAGGTCTTCTGTCAATATCATGTCCTTTGCCACCTACTTGCCGCACAGAAAGCAGATCCTGATCATCTTCTCCCTCAAACTACCAAAGTATTCTGTGCCATTGCTTTTATGTTGCTGGTTAGAGCGTGTGGCTCAGTGTACATTGCTTGCCCAGCTCACTCAAGGCCCTGAATTCTATCCCCAGCACTGAAAAAGAAAACAAAAGTTTCTTAAAGATTGACAGTGACATTGTGTTTATATTTTAAAATCTCTTAGTGGTAAGTGCTGAAGACCTTGTGAGTGTTTAGAATTTACTTTAAAAAAAGGCATTTGATGCCGGCTATAGGTGGCTCATGCCTGTAATCATAACTATTCAGGAGGCTGAGATCCGAGGATTGTGATCCCAAGCCAGGGGAGGAAAGCTTGTGAGATTCTAATCTCCAATTAATTACACCCCCCTCCAAAAAGAAAAAAAAAAGCCAGAAGTGGCTCAAGTGGTAGAGTGCTAGCCTTGGGTAAAAAAGCTCAGGAACAAAGTCTAGGCCCTGAGTTCAAGTCCCAGAACAGGCACCAAAAAAAAAAAAAAATTTAGCATTTGAGGGGAGGGTGCCCAACTCAGGGTTAATAAGATCAGCTGGTCATTGGGCCAGCATTGCATGTACATCCTTTTCCCCTACTCTTCTGTTCACTTGGAATTTACCATTGTGAGAAGTTAAGAAATAAACAAAGAAGGCCAGGTTCCAGTGACTCACGCTTATAATCCTAGCTCTCAAGAGGTTGAGATCTAAGGATTGAGGTTCAAACCCAGCTGGGGCAAGAAAGTCCACGAGACTCTTAACTCCAATTAACCACCAAAAAAATCAAGTGGAAAAGCACTAGTTTTGAATGGATAAGCCACACAACACCCAGGTGCTGAATTCAAGCCCCAAGACTGGCACAAGAAAAACAAAGGGAAGCCAAGATCCTCACAGTGGTTTATGAGGACCTGGGGGATCTGCTGCCCCATCCCCATTTCTCTCCATCCTCCTACTCCCCATGCTGTTGTGGCCATCTGGGCACCTTGGCTGCTCTTTCAATCCTTCCCACTTCCCTGGCCTCAGGACCTTTGCACTGGCTGTCCCTTCCCACCTTTCTTCCTCTGCTGAGCATCTTGGAGACCATCCTGAGCCCCTGCCCTGTCCATCTCCACTTTCCCCTCAGCTGGCCAATGCTCTGGACCTGTTTGAGAGGCAGATGCTGAAGGAGGAGAGACTGCAGCCGCTGGAGTACAACTACACGGTGCTGATTGGTGGCTGTGGGCGTGTTGGCTACCTGAAGAAGGCCTTCAGGCTCTACAATGATGTGAGTGCAGGGGGTGGGGGGGGTGGGAAGGCAGGCAGGGCCTCAGGGCTGAGCCTCTTAAGGTGCATGCACTGGGTGCAGGACCTAAGGGTGCTAGTTGGCAGTGCTTGGGCCAATAACTTAGACTTCCTGGAGTCAGGTTCACCACTGTAAAATGCAGGTGGTCTCAGGGGATTGAATGAAGCAATGTGAAGAAACATCCTTTACCTGAGCAGATGGCTCACACCTTTAATCTTAGGTACTCAGGAGGCTGAAATCTGATGATCATGCTTCAAATCCCACCTGGGCAGGAAAGTCTATGGGCGTCTTTTCTCCAGTGAACCACCAAAAAAGCCAGAAGTGGAGCTATGGCTCAGGTGGTAAAGCGCTCTCCTTGAGTACAAAAGCTTAGGCCCTAAGTTCAAGTCCCAATACTGGC